TATCTTTATTAATTTATAGAAAACTTAGAATGGAATAAAGGGAAGTAAATCAGAAACCTTCTCAGGGGAGCTGTACCATGAAACCTCTTCTGTACTAGCGACCACCAGTAGTGCAAGGATAATGCAACAACTCTGCCAAAGGCCCATCACCGTCAACAACTTTTCCGCAAAAACCTTAGATCAATTAAAATAACCTTACGAACCAACATTTCAGAGACTGGAAAAAAGATCTTTTGAGCTCCCGGTAACACTTTGGCCCTCTATGAGGGACAGTGCTATCACAAACTAATCAAACAATAACAGCATTTTTAGTCTGCTTGGCTAGGATACATTTAAGCACCGTAAACGATACAGATACCCGGTTATTTTGGTTGGGCAATGCACTGGAAAATGGTGTTGGCGAGCAACGAAGATAGTATATGCTGCAGAAGACAGTCAAAATCGCTCAAGCTTGCCAATACTTTGGATATGTGCATTTAGTCCGGAACTTCACCGTTATATAGAAGCTTGACTTAGTTGTTTATAGTGTTAAATGTGAAAACAAGGAAAAATTTTTGTTTGGCTGTATTTGAAATGCTATCCCAAAGTAAAGCTCTACCCTTTCTACTACAAGTGTAAGAAATTCTTAACAAAAGAGCTTTCTTTTTTGTTTGCGCAGATCAGGGCGCAGAGAATAACTGAAAATTCCAAAAACTTCAGGTAGTTTCGGATTAACACTTAACTTCAAAAAGCATATGTTGATAAAGGTTGATTAGGAGAGTGGGAAGATATATGTGGGTAGTGGAAGCGACGAATGAGACATCTAATCAACGCTTGTTGTTTTGGTTAAGAACTTTCTAAAGAAATTCATTAGTTCTGGCATAGAACATTATCAACGGGAATTTTTTCAAACAGATTTTTGTAATCATTTAGCCTACGGCAATGCAGCATTCTAAGAATTCTGTTTAGCACTCTGAAACTTTATAGCTTTCCAGTGCTCTAAGTAAGATTTGCAGCACCAGAGTAAACAAAGTTTTGCTGATGAATCTTTGTCTGTTACTGAAACGGGTACTGAATTAGTGATGACTTTAGTTCAGTCCTTTGCAAACTCTTTCATGAACCATTGTTCCATGGCAAAATTCAATCAGCACTAAATTGCTAGGTTTATAGTCCAGTGTTTTGGGTTTTCAACACACAATTAACACTTGCCGTTAGATCTTTCTTCTAACACTGTATCTAAGCCACATTTTTTCTGGTAAGTGGCCCACTTTAAAAAGATACTCATAAAAATTTTGGGTTTCATTCTGCATACTTCTTTAGACGAAAAAAATTAGTATGCTTGAAGTAAAACGGGCAAAACTGCATGAAGTTAGAACCTATCACTTTTAAACAGTGAATCAGATTTAAAGCATTCTTCATTCTTCATTCTTCAAATTCTTCAAATTTAAAGCAAAGCACAATTCGTCTACAAATCCATATATGCCACCCGAAGGCAACTTTTATAACCTGTCTTATATCACACTTATTACGGGATGAAACTCATGTCTTGACAATAAAGAACTTTTTTTCCACTTACTGATAGCATTCCTTATAATTTGAGTCCATTTTTTGGCTAAATTTTACCGATTTCAGTGAACAGTGTCATTAATAACACTCTTTATAACGCCAGTCCTTTATCCACTTTACAATGACTCTTGAAACCACCTTACCATCTCAGTCGCAGTAAAATAAAGATTTGCAACAAAATTGTGGGAAAAATTAGTTTTATATTGCTAATAACGAGGATAGCCGAAAAGAGTTGCCGTAGAGTTCTAAAAAAAATTATTAAAGAAATCGCCATTGTCTTAAACTTAAACTTTGCTCTTGATACAGGCTTAGCTGTTTTTTATTAGACTAAAAGTTAAGCAGTTTTGAAACCAAAAAAAGCCTGCTGAATCTATTAAATTTTTTTGAAAACCTAATAAACCTATTTAATTTATCTGTATTTGTCTGCTATAACTACGCCTTCTTAGCTGTATGGCTTTTGGTGGGCCTGTGATGGGGAGGTTTCGAGTCAAACTGCCTTTTTTCATGTCGCTCGAGCAGGTAAGTGTAGAGGTTTTGCAGAGAGTTTTGATTGGCTTTTTGGTTTTGTTGCCATAAGCCATTTTTGTTTAGTGATATTTGTAAGATTTTAGTAAAGTTATCTATTCTAACAGTACTCGGTGACAACTTTTGTGATTTGTGTTTTAAGGTTATCAAATAAACTTTGCCATTTGCAATGTAACATGAAAATTGCTGTCAATGGAAAGCGTTTACTTATACTTATTCTAACCAAAGATTTTGTAGTCGGTACCACAGGACTACCATCAGTTTTCAGTAGAATTGCTTTGGCAGTACAGGAGAGCACATTCTAGCTGCTGATGATTCATTCTGCTCAGGTCTACCGTCATCATTATGCAGAGAAGTGATGATAAATCTAAGCTCTAAATACTGCTGGCTATTTTTTAAAAACAGATTTTTGATACACTTTTGCCTACTCTGAGCAGGATAAACTATAGGTTTGTTCTTTAGATGCTTTTATACCACAGTTCTTGAAGAGTTTGAAGCAAAAATACTTTATAAACTATTATATGTATCTCAGTTTACATATTTAAATGTTTCTTAAAAATGGCAACTACGAAGTAAACAAATATTAAATTGAGTTGCCTAAATTTTTATTGTGAGCATACATTTATGAATATTTATCTATGGCTTAGTTACTTCTGCTGAATTATGATAGAAAAATGAAGAATACAATTTATTAACACTCTGTTGTCAGCTCACATCAGATACAACAACGGTACATTAATTAAAGAAATTAATAAAGCACATTGTTTTGGAATTGATTTTACGCATATCCCTGACCAAAAGACGACAAGTTTTCAAGCAAAAATCATCTTATTTTCTACGGTTAACACTAAAAACAGGAACAATATACTGTTATTACAACGTTTTTTAGTTTATAAAAACTAATCAACTTGTAAAGGAAAAACAGAAAAGCCACAAGATGATGATGTTTGAAAAGGACTTGACGACTGCTGAAAGGCATTAGTGTGGAACAAAAAAAAAAAAAAAGATGTACACATTTGACTTATACTCGCTATAGATGGCCAATTCAACTGTGACAGTACGATGTCTACTTCAGAAGCACTTGCGGTGAACAATTGATGGTCCAGATTCATCATATTCCTGCTTTGAGATCCACATCTGTAATATAATGAATTAACTTCTTGATTACGTCAACTGTAAATTTGATAGCTACTTTCGCCTGCCTGATGTACAACAAATAGAGCAGACTCATTATCTCACCTGTTGGAAGGTAGATAGTGAAGCAAGAATAGAGCCACCAATCCATACTGAATATTTTCGTTCTGGTGGAGCAATTATTTTGATCTTCATTGTGCTTGGAGCCAAAGCAGTGATTTCTTTCTAAAAGTTAAGTTTTCAAACTAAATTAAATGTATGGATTGCTTTTTTTCCCCCCCAAAAAAAAACACTGGTTTTATTTGAAATCAGGTATTGTTGAGTTTTAATTGAAGAACAGTCCTATATACTCAGGTTACCTGCATACGATCAGCAATACCCGGATACATGGTAGACCCACCAGAAAGGACAGTGTTAGCATACAAGTCTTTACGGATATCAATATCACACTTCATGATGCTGTTGTATGATGTTTCATGAATACCAGCAGATTCCATCCCAATGAAGGAAGGCTTAAAATAAAAATTTTAAACAAACAGCCACGCACGATAACGTTTTTAAATTGCATTCCGTACAGAAATAACTTTAAAAGCAGCACTGAGGACAGTCATTGCCCTCAGATTAGATACGAAAACTGTTTAATTATAACTCCTCAGATTTTACCTGAAACAGAGCCTCCGGACAACGGAATCTCTCATTACCAACGGTAATTACTTGACCATCAGGCAGTTCATAAGACTTTTCTAGAGAGGATGATGATGCAGCAGTTGCCATTTCTTGTTCAAAGTCAAGAGCAACATAGCAAAGCTTTTCCTTGATATCCCGAACAATTTCACGTTCAGCCGTGGTAGTGAACGAGTAACCACGTTCTGTTAGGATCTTCATCAAGTAGTCAGTTAGATCCCTACCAGCTAGATCCAGACGCAAAATTGCGTGAGGTAAAGCATAACCTAAACAGACTCTTTTGATTGTTTATAGAGCGGTATAATCTTGACTTTCTGTATACCGATAAATTCTTTTCGCTACTTTTTAGTATCTGCTATATAAATACTACTTTAGTTTGATTTCCGCTTGCTCACCTTCATAGATAGGAACAGTGTGGGTAACGCCATCACCAGAGTCAAGTACTACGCCGGTGGTACGACCAGAAGCATACAGAGAAAGAACGGCTTGAATGGCCACATACATGGCTGGAGTATTGAAGGTTTCAAACATGATTTGAGTCATCTTTTCTCTGTTTGCTTTAGGATTAAGTGGAGCCTCTGTAAGCAGAACTGGATGTTCTTCTGGAGCAACACGCAATTCGTTGTAGAAAGTATGATGCCAGATTTTCTCCATATCATCCCAGTTGGTGACAATACCATGCTCAATTGGATATTTCAGTGTCAAGATACCACGTTTTGACTGAGCTTCATCACCAACATAGGAGTCTTTTTGACCCATACCAACCATGACTCCCTAAAATACAATTTATGATTTGAAATATGCCGTATTTCATGAGTTGTATTCAAATTTAAAAAAAAAAAACATTCTATTTTTTTTTTTTTTTTTTT